CCAATAATTTATTTTTGCTTTTGTTTCCCTTGCCTTAGGAGATATACCTAGAAAAATGTTACTATGGCCAGTGGACATCTAGGCTTCTTAACAGGTTAAATGTGCTTTGAATTCCTAAATAGATTACGTGAATACATAAAATGACATTGCAGAGTAGATATTCAGATTAATAACACATCATAAATGTGCCAAAGATTAGATACTAGGATAAGTTGTTTGTAGTCTGCACCAGATGTGACAAATATAGATAGTAATCTGGCTTCAAGGAAGTGTTCCTATGTACACTGACTGCAAATACGTAATGAAAGTCTACTGTTTTTTGAGTAACTTTTCTTACTACTAAAACTATTGGAATAATACATTATTCCAACTTCAAGGCATGTCACTATTCACAGGATGGTATATTTTAGGAGTAAACATTTTAAGAATATTAATCTAGTCACTACATTAGAGATAGTATAGCTAGAATATAGAAAAACTAAGAAGTGAGAGATTCAGTGGGTTTCTACTAAGTGGATTTGCATTTTTAAGTTGAGACTTACTGGAGAGGTTAAAAAGTCAGACATTGGTAATCAACTGATAGATTTTTATATGCCTATTTATATTTGAAATATAACCTCAAACTCAGGTATATTTCCTCTATAAAATCAAATCAGTCTGAGCAGGTAGGTAGAAGAACCAGAGATACATCCCAGCTTCACCATTTTTTAACTGTGAAACCTGGGATAAATAACTTAACCTTAACAGATCTTACTGTAAAATGAAGTTAATAGTATCTACTCAACAAGGCTCTAGTAAGGAATGAATTTGATAATAAAAAATGCAGGGATGCCTGGGTGGCTCAGTGGGTTAAGCCTCTGCTTTCAGCTCAGGTCATGGTCCCGCGGTCCTGGGATTGAGCCCCGCATCAGGCTCTCTGCTCAGTGGGGAGCCTGCTTCCCTCTCTCTCTCTCTGCCTGCCTCTCTGCCTACTTGTGATCTCTCCCTCTCTCTCTGTCAAATAAATAAATAAAACCTTTTTTTTAAAAATGCAGTAACTTACACATAGTGTTATTCCATAAACGATAATGTTGTCCTAATGTCTTTTTTAAGCTTTATTAAGATGTAGTTGACATTCCAAAAATTGTATATATTTAAAGTATGCAACTGCTAAGTTTTGACATATATGTATATACCTGTGAATCATCATCACAATCAAGATAAAGAACATGTCCATCACTCTGAAAAATTTCCTTGCGCCTCCCTCTCTTTCCTTCCTCTTGCCCTCCCCCATACTACCTCATCCCCAGGCAACCACTGCTCTGCTTTCTGTTACTACAGATAAATTTGCATTTCTAGAATTTTATATGAATGGAATCATATGGTACATAGTTACTGTTAGGTTTTTTTGGGGGGTTGACATTTCTACTTTTTCCTTTCAGTATAATTATTTGAGTTTCTTCATTGTTGTTTTATATAGCAGTATTCATTCTTTTTTAATGATGAATAGTGTTACATTATATGGATATACTATAATTTGATTATTCATTCACCCTTTAGTGGACATTTGGGTTGTTTTGGGATTGGGCTATTCTGTTCTATTTATCTATTTTTTCTGTTGTGACACCAATAACAATATCCTGACTACCAGAACTTTATAGTAAGTCTTGAAGTCACATAGTGTAAGTCCTTCAACTTTATTCTTTTTGAACGGTGTTTTGGCAATTTCAAGTCCTTAACATTTCCATATGAATTTTAAATCAGCTTGTCACTTTCTATGCCACAAAAGACCTGATGTGTTATTGATTGGGATTACCCTGAATCTGTATATTAATTAGAGAAGAATTGACACCTTAATAGTATCAAATCTCCCAATTTATGAACATAGTATTCTATTTATTTAGGTCTTTAATTGTTCTCATCAGTGTTTTATGATTTTCAGTGTGTGGATCTTTTGTCCTATGTATCACTAAGTACTTACATGTTTCAGTGGTATTATAAATTATGTTATTTTGAATTTCAGCTTCCAATGAACCATTTCTCATATGTAGAAGTAAAATTGATTTTGGTACATTGATCTTATATTCTAAGACATTGATTAATTCAGTTAAATAGTTCTAGTAGCTCATTATAGATTTGATAGCATTTTTTGTGCACACAGATATGTTAACTGTGGATAAAGAGATTTTTTTATTCCTTTCCAGTATATATTCCTTTATTATTTTTTCTTGTTCTAGTGTATTAGCTAGAAACTTCAGTATAAAGTTGAATAGAAGTGGTATCCTGTTTAAGCTTTGGAATGTCTGAAAAATCTTTATTTTGTCTTTCTTTTTGAGGGATTTTTTTAGGTAACAGTCTTGATTGATAGTTGTTTTGTTCTTTCAATACTCTAAAGATGTTGCTCCAAGTTCTTTTAGGCTTGTATTGTTTGTAATGAGTAATATCTTACCCTTACCTTTGTTCCTCTGTATGTAATGTGTCTTTTTTGCACTGACTGTTGTTAATATTTTCTCTTTATCTCTGGCTATTTTATTATAATGTACCTTAGTGTACTTTTTTCATGTTTCTTGTGCTTAGGAATTGTTGAAATTTTTTAATACATAAGTTTATAGTTTTCAGAGAATCTGAAATTTTTCCCCTTATTTTTTCAATTACTTTTTCTATGCCCTCCTCCTCTTTGAGTTCTCCAATTACATATATATTCTGCTACTTGAAGTTGTTGTTTAGTTCACTGATGCTTCTTCTTTTATTTCCTTTTTTTTTTTTTTTTTAATTTTGGAGAATTTCTGCTGTCTTCAAGTTCAGTAATCTTTTCTTCTGCAGATGTCTAATCTGCCACTAGTCTTCCTAAGTAAATTTTCATCTCACACATTAAAGTCTTCATCTCAATTTGGGTCTTTTTGTTTTCTTTCATGTCTGAAATTAATATGTTCAAACTTTCCTATAGCTTCCTGAATATATAAACTATGGTAATAATAGCTATTTTTTTTTAAGATTTTTATTTACTTATTTGGCAGAGAGAGATACTGTGAGAAAGGGAACACAAGCAGGGGGAGTGGGAAAGGGAAAAGCAGGCTCTCCCCTGAGCAGGGAGCTCCACATGGGGCTCGATCCCAGGGCCCCGGGATCATGACCTGAGCCGAAGGCAGACAATGACTGAGCCACCCAGGTGCCCCAATAATAGCTATTTTAATGTCTTTTACTGCTAATTCTATTATTTATGTCATTTCTAGGTCTGTTTTTATGGATTTTTTTTTCTCCTCGTTTGCATCATTATTTTTTCCTGCTTCTTTGTATTCCTGGTAATTTTTCATTGAATGCCAGACATTGTGAATTTTATGCTGTTGAGAATGGATTTTTTAAATTCCTAGAAATATCTTTGAACTTTGTTCTGGAATGAGGTTAAATTTTTTAGGAACTATTTAATTTTTTCCTATCTTGCTTATGAACTTTCTTAGGTAGGGTCACAGCAGCATTTATTCCAGATGTAATTTTTCCCTTCTGCTGAGAAAAGGTCTTTTTTAGTATTCTGATGCCCTAATATGGCAAGGTTTTTCCAGTCTTGCTGGTGAAACAAGGATACTATTCCCAGTCTTGAGTGAGTACCAGGTGGTATTCTCTCATTTCTTTTGGCTTGTTATTTTCCTAGCCTTGGATTGTTTCCTCACACACATGCACTAAAATATAAATCATTGTGCCCTTAAATTTTCCATCTTTTGTGTTAAGTACCAAAGGTTTCTTTGTTCATTAACAAAGTATTATGTTGAGCTTAGAAGATAGAATTCTGCTAGCCTTTACTTGTTAGTTCTTAAATACTTGCCCCACCAAGTGTGCAGGAATAATTATTTGTTATATTTGTGTTACAAATGTTTATCCTCCTGCAATAAGTCAGTCTGCTTCTTTGGTTACCCTGACCTGGTAATTAAGTAGTATCTCCAGGCCTCCTTTGGCAGCTGGAAGAGATACTTTTGACTTTCCTGACTTAGCTGCCTCTGTTGGAAAATCCCAATTATGAAAGCTTTTCAGTCCCTGATTTTACACGTGAGTCTATAACCACTTTCCACGTAAATGTAAACAAAACAAACAAACCCCACCAATCCTCAATTAAAATACATTTTTGTAAATTTACTGTCTGTTACCACTGATTGCTTCTTCTGTTGTGTTCATATTGTTTTAAATGTTAAAAGTAGATAATTTTTTTTTTTTTTTTGCTGAGTGCTAAAGGTTGCATTAGAGCACAAATATTTTAAATTAGATGCAAGTGATAGCAATTTTATAGGTCTTTAAATCTATGGATGCTATTTTTTCATTATTAATTTTTAAGAATGGACTTTTTAGGAGTCAGTCACATAGCACCCAAGCAGAAAATGATGACAGTTAAGCTATTTTTAAAAGGTATTTGAAACCAATATTGTAATGTATGGCTTTCTCTGTACCCTGCCAGTTAGCAGATCACCACTCAGATGAGTTGGAGGAGATTGTTTGAATTGAGAAATGGAGCATGAGGTACAGGGAGAGTTTTGGAGTTAGAAAGACACATAGATAACTTCAGCTCTTCCACTTATTAGTGGAAGACTTTGAGCAAGTCTTTTAGCCCACTGAACGTACAATTTATCTTCTTTAAATAAATATTATACCCCCTACCTCATAGCACTGAAAATGAGGCTAAATAACATAATGAATGAAGGTATAATAAATGCTCAGTAAAATGACCTTACCTCCTTTAAGTGTGTGAAGTTTCCTAGTGAGAAGTTTCCACCCAAGTGAAAACAAAACAAAACAAAAACAAAAAACCCCTCCTAATTTGAAAATGCGTATATACCAAGTAAATGGTATTCATCACAGGAAGAAATTTTGACTATAATATTATGGTTACTTTAGATTTAAAAGACTTCCTAGAGTGACTTAAATCATAGTGGTTTTTTTTTCAGTGTTCTATTTGAGGGCAATTCAAAGTAAGTTATTGATGTTCATTTCATTTTTACTCTTAATAAAAAATATGCTTTTTTTTTTTTAATTAGGGGGAGTTTGTTGCTTGTCTCCTGTCCTTATTACGACAAATGACAGATAGACATTATCAACAACTTCTTGATAGTTTCAATACAAAGGAAGAATTAAGGGTAAGTGACTTTTTAAAAAATTTCCTATGTCTTTGTAGCTTTCTTTGTTCTCATTCATTATTGTTAAGATAGTTCCCTGACAGTTGTTTTACCTGTTTGTGTTAAATTCTAAGCTGTTTTTTCTCCCGTTCATCCACTTGTCTGACTATCTATATTGGCTCATTAAGATTTCAACTACTCAAGCAAAGCAATTAACTTTTATTTTATACAAAGACAAAGGATTTGAAATACCTGTCAGCAAAATCCAATAAACTAAAACAGAATCACAGACTTAATGAGACAAAAGCAAATAGGCTAACTCTAGTTAGGTGGACTTGGAAATATTGCCTTTAAAGGAGATAAGGGCGAATATATAAATATATTAGCGGATTTCATCCCTCTAAAACCACAATGAGGACTTGTGGCTACAATGTTCTGACTGGAGAAGCAGGGTTGTGTTTGATATTCTCTGTCAGCTACAGTCCAATCAATATGCTGTGCTAGTGTGACGGGCTGACATTAAATAGAAAATATTTGATGCCAGGTTTATAAAAATTTGATCTTTCCTGAGATTTAGGGAGCTCCAGTGCTTCCTTCACAGTGTTCACTAAAACCTTAGAAGTTGATTGTCCTCAGTTGGAAGAATGACCTGTCATCATTTACTTTTATTTCTCTTCCATCTCTTGAGTTTTCCAGATACCTTCATAGGTACACCATTGTAATGGAAGGGATACTTAACATAGCGGTGGGGGAGAATTATAGGACAGGAGGAACAGTCACACTGCGACATTTGCGTGACTGGAAGCCTTCATAGCACCTCAGAGGAAGACCTGTAGATGTTTTTTAGTACAGATCATGCACAGGGATCACTTATCTTTGATCTGGAAGATGTTGCATGACCTTAGAATCATCTTTCAAAGTTACATTGGAACAGTTGGCAAGCTGAATCATGAAACAAAGAAAAGGTTTGGGCAGATGTACTCTCTCGAGCAGAAAGTCAGTTGGCATAAACCCATGCCTAAAAAAACGTTTTACATGTTTATTTTCAATCTTGAGTTTAGAATTAAAAACAGATAAAAGGCCTTAGAAAGCGCCCACTCTATGCACAGAAATTCATGTGGTTAAAAAGGAAGATAATTGTACAGTCATTAACTTCAGAAGTTGAATATTTAAAACAGGTAAGGAACTATTAGGTTTTACGTAAGAAGTCTTGACTTCATGTTTTAAAATTTCCCATAGGAAAAGCTACTACTTATTTTTACAGAGCCTGGGAATAAAACAATAGCAGAGGAGCACACATTGAAAATCATAATTAATCTAGGTCTTGAGTTTTATGCCTTATTATGCATGTTAATAATAATAAAGCAAATGGAAGTCATGAATAAAAAGTGTTTTATGTGGCCTTTTCTCTTTTCAGTCAGCCCATACCTTTTCACCATTTCCCACTTCAAAATTAACTGGGCCTTCAGGCCAGGAAAATTATTGAATGCTCTTAATTACTTCATCTGTTCTTTAAGCAATATCGATTGAGAAATTCAGGCAACTACTGGTTTTGTTATGTAACCAGGTACAAATTGTCCAGTCCCTATAGGGGGAGAAATCAGACAGGTAATGGGCATTGACCCCGCAGGTGGCGAACTCCCAGGGAAAGCACGTGGTGCTTGAGAGCATTGGGAATTGCTGCCAACCCAAACTCGTGACAGCAGGAAAAGTCCCCAAGGGAGGTCTCAGCTGAGAACTAAGAGACGAGTAGGCATGTTCTGGACTTACCTTTGTCTAGGACATTTAGATCTCTCAGCTAAAATGATACCAGGATGTGCTAACTGACAAAGCACTCTCTATGCCACCTTTATAACAGTTACTGGAACCCAGAATGTTTTAGTTTTATTTGTTTATATGAATCCCCAACCCCTAACTACTAGATTATAAGCTCCTTGGCGTGTGAAGCTTTTGTTGGTTCACTGCTGTATCCTCAGATCCCAGAACATGCTCACCACCATTGTAGGCACTTGAGAAACATTTGTTGAAACCATAAGAGACTCTTAATCTCACAAAACAAACTGAAGGGGGTCGGGGGGAGAGGTGTAGGGAGAGGAGGGTGGGGATATGGACATTGGGGAGGGTATGCGATATGGTGAGTGCTGTGAAGTGTGTAAACCTGGCGATTCACAGACCTGTACCCCTGGGGCTAATAATACATTATATGTTAATTAAAAAAATTTGAATGTTTGATAGAATATAAAGTATGAAGAAGAGAGTTGTAAGACACAAGGCTGTGTGTGGGCTTTATTTTAAGGACATTTGGAAGTTATAGATGGTTTTAAGGAAGAAGGGAGAGCCGTGGTCCCATTTGAGTTAAGAAAAACCTGCTGGTTGCACTATTGAAAATGAATTAGCCAAGATCAAACGGGAGGCAGAACCATATAAAGGATCTGATGCATTCTGTACTAAAAATGACTATGGCCTGAAAGTGAGATGATCATGATGGTAGTAGATTCTAGGGACATTTAGGAAGTTGAATTGGCAAGTGCTGGTCACTCAATTTATAAAAGAGGTGGAGAGATAAGAGTTGAAGATGACTCCCAGGCTCTTTAACAACTGGCCAGTTGGGGCGCCTGGGTGGCTCAGTGGGTTGGGCCTCCGCCTTCGGCTCGGTTCATGATCTCAGGGTCCTGGGATTGAGCCCCGCATCGGGCTCTCTGCTCAGCAGGGTGCCTGCTTCCTCCTCTCTCTCTCTCTCTCTCCCTGCCTCTCTGCCTACTTGTGATCTCTGTCAAATAAATAAATAAAATCTTTAAAAAAAAAAAAACAAAAACTGGCCAGTTGTTGGTGCCATTCACTGCAAGGGGAACCCCGGAGGTGTGGGTGTACAGGTTAGGGAGCAAGCATAAATCTGGTTTCAGCTAGAGTTTGGTCACTTGAGAGACATCAAAATGGTCATGTCTCATAGACAGTGTCTAAAGTTTAGGAGAGAAAGCTGGACTGCAGATGTAGATTTGGAAATTGTCATTGACATCTTTGGTAATAAATGTGATCATTCAAGGAGAGTGTAGAGTATGTAATTGAAGGGATCTGAATAGAATCCAAGCATCAAGGAGCTGCTGCAAGGAGGTGTGGTAAGATCCTAAAAGGGTCCTTTAATATTGTCGATGAACTCGATGAGCAATTTCAGTGCATTGGTGAGGATAGAAGCCAAGCTGTCATGAATTGAGGAGTAAAAAGAGAAAAAGCCGCAGTAAACTTAATACCATGTTCCAAGAAAAGGAGGATAACGTGTCTACTAAAGGAGAACTTTGGATATCATAGGAATATTTATGCTGGAGGAGACATAAGCATGTGTAAATAGCAACAATTAGAGCTGGTAGAGGAGAAGCTGAAGGTGCAAGGAAGAAGTGCACGAGGTAGGAAGGTTCCCTGAGAAGGCAGCAGGAGGGGACAGAAGTAGCCTTGACAAGGAAGATCACTTTCCCGTGTAAGAATGGAAGTGGAGTAACTGGGGGGAAGGCAAGCTAAAGGTCACTTATTTTATTAACGGCTAATTAGTCATCAGATTTTAATCTGTATTTTAAAAGTTCAGAAGTCACCTTTTAACAGATCCATTTTTCTTAGTCTCCTTTTTCTTAAAAGCCAAATACCCCTGTTTATGCTACTGAAAGCTACATTACAGGATCTTTCAAAGAAGAGTAACACCAAAAAAAAAAAAAAAAATAAAAAAAAAAAAAAAAAAAAAGAGTAACACCAGTCCACTGTCCCTTATGCAAAGTCCTTAATAACATTATTTTAGAAATGAGAAGCTTTGACATTTCAGGAAGATAATGTTTACATACTGTATATGGTATAGGACCTCTAGTAGGATTTGGGATAGCCACTATAATTAAACATCTCAATATTTCTGCAGTTAAAAAATATTCATTCTAAATGGGATTAAATGAAAACTAATTCAAGTCAGGTTTTGCTGCCGAATGGATTATGAAACCAGAATTTTTAGAATACCTTGAGATTTTACTCTGGTAGTAAAGAAACTGAGGACTTCTAACAGCACACAATTCTATAAAACAATACATGCAAAGTACTGTTCTAAAAGACTGATTCATATTAACTCATTTAATCCTCAACCCCCTGAGGTAGGCACCATTATGATTTCATTAAAAATGTCAATTACATGATTCAATAGATATCTATTGAGCACCTTGGCTAGACGTTAGGGATATCAAGACTAATAAAACAATCTCTCTTAATGCTTTAATGTTATTAAGAGCATCTAAATCATTAGGTTATAAATGAGTGGGATGTATAAAAACAACAATGGCAGTCTTAGAATACCTCCTCACCCTCACCCCTACCCGCACTGCCATGGGCCATGCAGTGCTCAACGCTTTTCCTGCCGTGCCTCATTTTACTCCCCGCTAACCTGCCCCAAGCACCTTCCACCCCTGCAAGGAAGTAACTGAGAGGGCCTGGAATTCTATTAACTTCGGAGCTCTTTTGCTCAGGCAGCTAAACTCAGCTTTTTCTTAAACTTTAATGAAGTTTGCTCAACCAAGATCTTTGCCATCAAATTGCATAAAATTTCATTTATCAACTCCTTAAAAAGTAATAAGGCAGTTCCAGTCATGAAGTGGGAATAAAAGCCCAAATTAATGGAAGGAGAGTTATTTGGGGGTTTTGTATCTACCTTTAGGTTGGAAATGGAATATATATAAGGGAATTGTATGTAAGGAAACGTGCAGCTTAGTAAAGTGGTATTTAATGGAAAATTTTAGACACCAAAACCCCCATCTTACCTACTGGTTAAAAGTGATAAAGTATGTCCCCCTCCCTTCCACGCACGTGTATTCTCATCTCCAGATGTAGCTACTGTTAACACATAAGGCTATATCCTCACATAATATTTTTTCTGATATATATATATTCACACATATTTTTAATGGAATCCTACTATTTGTATTAGTTGCACTTTTTCACACAATAATATGGCATGAATATTGTAGAGCTCAGTGTATCATTTATTGCTCTGAATCGTACTACATGGATGCTAATAATTTAATCATTCCC